GTGCACCTAAGACATGGGCAATAACACAACAAAGCCAGGTAACAGCTTAGTTAAGAGAGAGAAAAAACTCAGCGGTTTAGTCTCAAAACCACCAGGAAACATAATTTTGGCACAACAACAAATTTGTGTAATCTTCTGTAATCCCTCTTTTCTAATTTATTCAAAGTGCCCAGCACTCCTTCACCATGTCGGGCAACAGGCTTCCAGCTCAGGGTGACCACACCCCCAGTCAATGGCAGGCTCCCAATAAGCTACACTAAAAATATGGGTCTCAAACCCAAAACTTACTCAAATTTTACACCAGTGTCCCCAAACTGCCAGCTTTTAATATTCAAATAAGATATGCCACCCTCAGTCAACTCCTCTTGCTCTCCAGTGGAAGCCTGCCACCAGAGAACAACGTTGATATTTAAATTAGCTAGTACATCGCTCAGTCAAGTCTCTCTGCTCTCCAGCAGGTGACGTCGGAGAGCTCTGAGCTTGCTCACTTACCTTTCTCCCATTAGCTTCAGGCCCCAGGTTTCACAAATGCATAAACCATGTGGGATTCTACCAGAATATCACTTACTCACTTGGGTTAGCAGTTGAGGAATGTGGTGCTGCTCTGAGGGGACGTACTTGCATACTTGGGATATTATTGCAAAGATACAATTAGAATTTCTGTTAGACAATTTGAAGGGCAATTTATATTTGGTAAAAACCTTATTTAGTGAAAGAAATGCTGTAGTGACAGTATAGTTACTGGGGCTACAAAACACTTTCCCTCCTGGGTGAAACAAGAAGTTAGAATTAGAAAATTACATAGTTTGTTCCAATGTTGGTACAGGTTTAATTTTGCTTATGTAACCCTCCTTCCCATCTGAGTTAGAATCATAGAATATCAGGGTTGGAAGGGACCTCTGGTTCAGTATCTAGGGGTTCCATTTCAATAACGCAATGCAAAACCAGCTTGAGCCCCCACCCAGTGACCTGGGACAATTACATACCACCTGCTGGGTGCCTCTAAGAAGCAATACTTCCCCTCTCACAAGCACGGAGTCTGAGTGTAGCAGAAAATGTTTAATGACATGAGGTAAACGACATCAGCATTAAATTGGGAAAACACCACAAACAGGATTCGTAACACAAACCATGAGCAAAAGACCCACCCCCAAAGTCTCAAAAGTCCAACACCCCAAAAGTCTCTTGAGTCCAGCAACCCAAGAATCACCCAAAAGTCTCTGTCCCTGGTCAGTGCAGCCCCAGAGTTCAAAAGTTTATCTGCACAGTCTTACCCCCACCCCCTAGCCTGGGTGGAAATGGGGGGGAGAGAAAGGGGCACATGGGATATTAAGGGGCACCTGACGTGGTCTGAGGCCAACTGCCCTGCCTGTCCATGGGGTTCTGCTGCAGCCTTCACCACGAGCTGCTCCACTCCACCAGCTGCTCTGCTCCACCAGCTGTCCTGTGAGCCACTCAAGCCATCCCACAAACTGCTCCAGTCCACTCCACATCTCGTGGGCCACACCAACCATCCCGCAAACTGCTCCGCTCTGCCAGCCGCTCAGCAATAAATGTTTAGGTTCCCCCACAGTTAACACAGCACTCAGTGATTTCAGCTTGTAGTAAGGGAGCCCCCAGTGCTAGTACACCCTTGGCCTAAATTGATTTCAGCATAGTAGCCTGTAACTAAACTCTTAACAAAATAAAAATTAGCTCTGCTATTTAACAGTAGAGAGAGAAGATGGTATAACTGGTATTGCAGGCCCTTTTTATTAAAAAAAAAAGGGGGGGGGGAGAGAAGGGAGAAAGAAGATAGACAGGCCAGCCCACTCTCTCTCAATTCATTGGGTTTTGGAACCCATGTCCCTTGTCTAGTGAGTGCTACTTAGGTGATGGTGAGACCCTCTGTCATAAAACAGTTTCATTGTCCTTGATTCACACAATCAGGGTAACAACACTTTATTCCTCCTGCCCCAATAACAGAGAAACTGGGGGTCCCAGAGCAGCCAAAGTGACCATTTTGGGCTGCCATGGTCTCATGCTAGGCGGGGCGGGTGTGCCTATGCAAACAAGATCAGCCCCTGAAGTTCTTTTCCACAACTCACCACAATTCACCACCAGATGTCATGGTAGAGCTCATCCTGACCCTGCTTACATTTATTTTATGTTATTTTATCATCCTGCTGTAGCACTCTTTTTTGATACTTTATGGCATTTGTTATATTTTGTTTTTTAAAAACAAAATCAGCTTTTCTTAATGTTTGGGTTTTAAATTAAGCATTGTTTGCCGTTTCAAATTTTGCTTTAGATTTTTGGTTTCTGATGGGATATTTAAGAGGATTTCGGATTTAATACTAACATTTGGACAGATTTAGATTATTTAGATGGACTTGGAGTAAATCCTGTTTACTATTTTATTTTAATAAAGGTTATATTGCTGTAAACCCTGGCCGGGGGGAGAGGAGATGAGCTGGCCTTTAGCAAGGAGCAGAGGCATGGCCACCATGAGGGGTGAAGCCAGGTGATGAAGGGGACAGAGCTGGCCACTCTGCATTACCCCGACTGGCCACTGGGTGCCACTGCTGCTGCTCCAAGAGAGACATACTCTCTGCATTACCCTGACTGGCCCCCAGGTGCCACTGCTGCTCCAATTGAGACATCCTCTCTGCATTACCCTGACTGGCCACCGGGTGTCACTGTTGCTTCATGGGCGATAGTGCAACAGAGGGTCCTGTGGCACCTTTAAGACTAACAGAAGTATTGGGAGCAGCTCCCAATACTTCTGTTAGTCTTAAAGGTGCCACAGGACCCTCTGTTGCTTTTTACAGATTCAGACTAACACGGCTACCCCTCTGATACGATACACTGTGCATTACCCTGACTGGTTACCCGGTGCCACTGCTGCTCCAAGGCAGACACACACACACACTCTCTGCGTAACCCTGACTGGCCACTGGGTGTCACTGCTGCTCCAAGGAAAACACCTTCTGTGCATTACTCTGACTGGCCACCAGGTGTCACTGCTGCATCATGGGAAACATGCTCTGTGCGTTATCCCAATTGGCCACTAGGTGTCACTGCTCCACCATGGGAGACACCCCTAGGTTTGGTCGGGACGCAATTTGTCCCGATATTTCACACTCCTGTTTTTGTTTTGTTTTGTGGCGGGACTCGGCTTTTTTTTTCCTCTGCTGGCAGGAGTCCGCTTTTTTTGTTTTTTGCTCCACAGGCAGGACCCCCCTCCACCCCACCCCCCCATCTGTCCCAATATTTTCTTCATCCCATCTGGTCACCCTAGACACCTCTCCCCCTCTATGCATTGCCCCAATTGGTCACTGGGTGCCACTGCTGCTCCAAGGGCGACACACTCTCTGCATTACCCTGACTGGACACCAGGTGTCACTGCTCCTCCATTGGAGACACACCCACCTCATGCATTACCCGACTGGCCACTGGGTGTCACTGCTCCACCATGGGGAACATCCTCTGTGCATCATCGTGACTGGCCACTGTGTATCATTGCTGCTCCATGGGAAACACAATTTGTGCATTACCCTGACTGGCCACCAGGTGCCACTGCTCCTCCCTGGGAGACACCCCCCCGTGCATTACCCCAACTGGCCACTGGGTGTCACTGCTGCTCCGCTCCAAGGGAGACACACTCTCTGCATTACCCTGACTGGCCACCAGGTGTCACTGCTGCACCATGGGAAATACAATTTGTGCCTTACCCTGACTGGCCACTGGGTGTCACTGCTGCTCCCTGAGACACACCGTCTGTGCATTAGCCTGATTGGCCACTGGGTGCCACTGTTGCGCCATGGGAAACACAATTTGTGCATTACCCTGACTGGCCATCAGTTGCCACTGCTGCGCCAAGGGAAACATGCTCTTTGCATTACTCCAATTGGCCACTAGGTGTCACTGCTCCTCCATTGGAGACACACCCACCTCATGCATTACCCTGACTGGCCACTGGGTGTCACTGCTGCTCCAAGTGAGACATACTCTTGCATCTGAACAGGAGTACTTGTGGCACCTTAGAGACTAACAAATTTATTTGTATGAATCCGAAGAAGTGGGCTGTAGTCCACGAAAGCTTATGCTCTAATAAATTTGTTAGCACTCTGTATGCATCCGAAGAAGTGGGCTGTAGTCCACGAAAGCTTATGCTCTAATAAATTTGTTAGTCTCTAAGGTGCCACAAGTACTCCTGTTCTTTTTGCGGATACAGACTAACATGGCTGCTACTCTGAAATCTTGCATCTGAAGAAGTGAGGTTCTTACCCACGAAAGCTTATGCTCCCAATACTTCTGTTAGTCTTAAAGGTGCCACAGGACCCTCTGTTGCTTTTTACAGATTCAGACTAACACGGCTACCCCTCTGATACTCTCTGCATTACCCTGACTGGCCACCGGATGGCACTGCTCCACCATGGGAAACCTCCTCTGTGCATCATCCTGACTGGCCACCGGGTGCCACTGCTCCTCCCTGAGAGACCCCTCCCAGTGTATTATCCTAACAGGTCACTGGGTGTCACTGCTGGTCCGAGGGAGACATATGCTCTGCATTACCCTGACTGGCCACAGGTGTCACTGCTCCACCATGGGAAATACACTTTGTGCCTTACCCTGATTGGTCACTGGGTGTCACTGCGCCTCCATGGGTGACACACAATTTGCATTACCCTGACTGGCCACTGGGTGTCACTGCTGCTCCCTGGGACACACCCTCTGTGCATTACCCTGACTGGCCATCAGGTGCCACTGCTGCGCCAAGGGAAACATGCTCTGTGCATTACCCTGATTGGACACTGGGTGTCATTGCTGCTCTGCTATTTCTTATGTTACACTCTGTGAAATACCCCGTCTGGCCACTGGGTGTCACTGCCGGTCCAAGGGAAACACCTTCCGTGCATTACCCCGAGTGACCACTGGATGTCACTGCTGCTCCAAATAAATTTACTCAGTGCATTACCCTGACTGACCACCGGGTGTCACTGTCGCTGCAACTGAAACACACTCTATGCATTACCCCAACTGGCTGCCGGGTGTCACTGCTCCTCCATGGGAGAAACACACATAAGAAAGGCCGTACGGGGTCAGACCAAAGGTCCATCTAGCCCAGTATCCTGTCTACCGACAAAAAGCAACAGCGGGTCCTGTGGCACCTTTAAGACTAACAGAAGTATTGGGAGCATAAGCTTTCGTGGGTAAGAACCTCGCTTCTTCAGATGTAAGTAATGGAAATTTCCAGAGGCAGGTATAAATCAGTATGGAGATAATGAGGTTAGTTCAATCCGGGAGGGTGAGGTGCTCTGCTAGCAGTTGAGGTGTGAACACCAAGGGAGGAGAAACTGCTTCTGTAGTTGGATAGCCATTCACAGTCTTTGTTTAATCCTGATCTGATGGTGTCAAATTTGCAAATGAACTGGAGCTCAGCAGTTTCTCTTTGGAGTCTGATCCTGAATTTTTTTTGCTGTAAGATGGCTACCTTTACATCTGCTATGGACACAAGTCAGATATCAGGAATGGCAATATACAAAAACCTGTAGGAGAACACTTCAACCTCCCTGGCCACACAATAGCACCCTGGCACCCTGTAGTCTCCCAGGGGCTGGGGCGCATCCACCTCGGGGGAGGGTCTGTCTGCCCCAATGCAACCCAGAGGGAGTGTCCACACCTCCTATCAGGCTCAGTGGGATGCACTCTCTTGCCCGCCGTGGTCTCCTATGGGTCATATAGGATCTGTCTGCCCCAGGGATGGTCCATGCCATGCTGAGGAGAGTTCATGCTGCCTGCCAGCCTCAAGGTGTCACTCCTCACACATCTTCATGGGGATTTTGGGGAGATTCTTGTTGTTGTAATGGGATCACAGAGCACGAGTGGCTGGTTGAGTATCTTCAGGGCTATGGGGTCTGGGCCTGAGAGGTGTGAACTCAGAGTCATGGCTCCGGGCTCGAGAGAAAAGGGGCTGAGACTAGAGATGCACTGTCACCCTACAGCTCCACTACTGCAGCACCGAAAAGCCTCACTCAGGTCCGGGCCTCATTGTGTTGGGTGCTGCATGGAAAATCAGTGAGAAACAGAGATGTCTGGAGATGGATAGATGAGCGTCTCTGGCATACAGAGGAGGGGTGGAGAGGTGTGTGTGGCACATGGAGGACAGATGGTGATGCTGCAGGCTGACAGGTTTGTGGGTCTGGCTGGTGGCTGATTGCCACAGCAGCTCCTGCCCCCCCATTTGCTGTGCTGTTTTTGATGTTGACCCATCTCTTGCAGCCACCACCAAGCAGAGCCTGGCCACAGAGCAGCGCTACAGCAGGTGCATGGACCAGCTGCACACTGTGCTCCTCATCTGCTCCGGGACGGACAAGCCCGTGGGCTCCTGGCTGCTGAACAACCTGCCCCAGATCTCACCCTCTCCTGCTACCGGAGTAGCCTGCTCACCACTGAGACCAAGACCAGCCCCCAGCTGCCCTGGCAGCCACTGACCCTAATGTGGAGAGCCTGATGTGTGGTGGGGGGAAACATCCCAGTATCTCCTCTGTAGGGTCAGGACGTGTTATTAAAAACTGCTCCCTGTCCCAATTTCCTAATGGTTGCAGTTACAGGACATAGCAATTTTTTTGCTGTCCTGATGCAATTCACCACCCCCACAATTCACCAGCCCTGGGTCTGGGAGTAGCGATTTGTGGCAGATGGGGTATGCATTGTTACAATGTGCTACTTCTGGGAAATCTCTATTTGAAATTGGCACACTCATGAGATGAGTTTTCTAACAATACATTTTTCTAAGTTAGAAAACATTTGTGTTATTGAGATCCAAATTTAATATAGAGATTTCATGGGGTAGGAAACTGTGACAGGGCATAAACCATCCATCACAAATTGCTACTTTGGGACCAGGGCTGAGGTAACCAAGGAAATCAGGCAGCATTCAAGTGATATGATCACAAATAATAGCCTGACATTAAAAATAAGAAACAAGAGTATTAAAACCTGTAATTTACTATGTCACAGTAAAAACATAGGTGGTGTTATAATAATAATTAAACTAATGTTTTTGAAAAGTCAATAAAAGGAATTAAACTACATTTATAGGAAATTGATACAGAATGGTCAATTCAAGCAATTAGAACAGCAAACAAGACCAACCCTGAGCCCTCACCTGCTAACCCTAACTCCTGTTCTCCAATACTCTAACCCAACTCCTCCCCCTAACCTTTGACCCTATCCCACACCACAACCCAACCCTAAACCCTGACCCCTCCCTTCAGCCTAGGCAACCCAACCCTGATCCCTGCACCCTAATGCTTCAACTAACCCTGATCCCTGACCATCACCCTATTATATCATAACCCCCACCCTAACCATAACCCCTTAACTCTAACACACCTTTGAACCCAAACTCTTACCCAACCTAATCCCTAAAGCTAATCCTAACCCTCGCATTAAACACAACCCTCTAACCCTCAACCCTGCTTCCCAGAACCCTAACCCCTCCCCTCCCCTAATCCAACTCTCCCTCTCAACCCCTAACCCTTTCCAAACCTAATCCACACCCTAAACCTAACTCCCCCTTAACCTCACCCTAATCCAACCCCTAGACCCTGACCCTGTAAACCCAAACCTAAACCCTCAAACCCCAATTTCCCCCCTCCATGGGTGGCACCATCCTCTTCCCAGTGGGGGGGGGCTGAGGTGGGGTAGACAGAAAATTGGGGGGGCTGCACCCACCCTTGCCACAGGGCCCCACCCATCTCTATGGCTCTGCTCCCTGCTCCTCTTAAGTGCCAGCCCTGCCTCCTGCCCCATCCCCCCATTGCCCTCCTCCTCGCCAGGTTGGCGGCTGGAGCCGGCCAGTGGGGGATGACTGATGTGCTGGCTGTGCCGTGGGATGGGCAGCTGGGGTGCTCCCCTGTCTCCTTCTCCTGCTGCTGCTCTTGGCCCTGGGGCTGCGGCTGCCCCTCAGCTTCCCGCCACCCTTCGACTGCTTACAGCCCCCAAGAGCCACCCAGGTGGGGGAACCTGGCTCTCGCAGAGCCCTCGGGGAGCATCAACCACGGGCGGCAGGCCCAGGAGCCTGGGGCAGAGTGGGGCTGTTGGGGTTGCTGTGGGGCACCCTGAACCCTCTGCCTGCTCTGGGCAGCGCATAGTTAAGTGAGGACTTCTGCACTGCTGCTGCTGGTGGCGTCACTGTCATCAGAGCTGGGCGGCCAGAGAGCTAGCCAGGTTGGCTAATGAAAAGTGTGACTAAGGGGGGATATGATAGAGGTATATAAACTTCTCCCTGTCTGCTCACCCAAAAGCAAGTCCCTATTGAGAACATTTGCAAACTTCTCCCCATTACAAGTCTCTGTCAGTACCCTGTACTCATCCCTGCATGTACGCCCTAAAAAAAGTCCCCCTTCAAGCCCTCTCTAACTAAGTCTCCCTCATTACCCCTGCTGGACATTTTCAATGTGTCTCTCTATACACATTCAAGTGTCCTCTTCCCTTCATCTGCTATACTAGATAGTTCCTATTTTGAGGTGTGAGCTCAGGAAGATTAGTGGTGGAGGAGGGAGCTAAGGGCTTCCCTTAATCATTTCCCTATGTGCTACCCTCAACTCATCTTAGCCATCTCCATTTGCAACCCCCTCCAATCTGCCACCATGCCTCCTCTTGCAAGTATCTCCAGGTGTGTTTGTCTCCTTAACACTCCCTACACTATTTTCCTTCTGCTCCCCCCATAGACAGCTGCTTAGATGCTCTAAACACTCCCCCATTCCCTTCAGTTGTTCATGAATGCTCCCACCCCAGACATCCTTCCTCTTTCCTCCCTTTATGTTCCAGGGAATAACAATATTAATTTTTTATACAGCACTTTTTTCTATCTATTCATATATAAGTAGTTGGCTAAAAGATAATGGGCCACTGGATGAGGCTCAAGAATATGTAGCATTGTTAATAGGTTTTCTAGGACCAATTTGTTGTTGCATGATGTATAGTGATAGCTATATAGCAAAAGCCACTTGCACAAGACATTTTTACATAAGGTCACATAGCTGCTGGTAGCCTGCTCATGCCACAGGAAGCTGGTTTCCTATTTTTTTCAAAGCAATGAAGGGCAGATATGTGGAAAGAACCATACAAAGATTAAGAGTATCATTTATTATTATTATGTATAACCATAACCATGTTGAAAGTGTAGGATTCTTTACCTTAGTATTAGTGGAATCAAGGACACAATGTATCCTATACAGACTTGATACAGGAGATGGGACACTAGATTAGAAATAAGACATGCCTCAGCATAGGCTACGTCCTATATCCAGCAGAGCTAAGTTTCCACATAGGGAGGTCTAATGAGTTGCATCACTTAACAGGTTAAAATGTATCCCAAAGCTGTTGCAGAGGCAGGTGGAAAGGAAGAGCCAGGAGCACAAGGTATACACCAGAGAAAGTCAAGAAGGAACAGAGCTAACTATTTAACCGAGGTAACTAATACTGCTGGAGTATTACATCACCCACACCACAAACTTGTATGGGTGCATTCCCCCCACCCATTGCTTCTCTCTGAAAAACGGTATATTGCAGAAGAGATGGAGTGATAGTACTAGTCTAGACACACAGCAACTGCTGAAGGCTTCATCTCTCATTAACTATTATTCCACCACTACACTTCAAATTCCATAAGCTGTTAAGTGTAACAATTTTTTGTTTTTAAACAAACAACAACAAAAATCCAGGGATTTCTGGCTATTCGAACCCTTTCAACAAACTCCAAGACATGTGAAGTGAGGACACAAGATACTGTTTATAACTCCCATTTAGTTTAATAAGTTAACAAGTTCAGGCCATTACACAGCAATGGAACTCTTCTTAAACATTTACAAAGGTGCAGAATTTCATCCATTTCATCTTTAAATAAATCATTGTACTCTAATCTCTTAAATAGCTAAACAGTTCCTATTTTTCTTTGTATTGAAATCTGGGGTTAAAATAATCCACCCACAAAGAAGGCATCAAAGTACAAAAGAGCACAAGTGTGGGGCACTAGCTCAGGCTCAGTGTGGGTATTTGCTCCAGAACCTGTGCAAGTGAGCAAAGCAAGCAGATACCTGTGAAAGGAGTCCTGAGTTGAGGGCCACTCATGTAAAGGAGCTACAATATCACAGGGTACACACCAGCTTTTTATTTTACAAGAGGTTTCACTGAATCTCTGCTACCAAGGATATGACACCTTCACTGTATATTCATTATGTATAGGAAGGGAAGAAAAAGACAGCTGAAAGGAACAAATAAGATCTAAGTCACAGCTGCTGTCCCATCTGGGATCAGATTGGCTTGCTAGTTGCCCACAAGCCCCCAGCTCTATAGATTTGAAATCTAACCCAAAGAAAGATGTTGTCACAGGAAACAAGTCCCTAAGTAATGATTAACTCAGAGGAAACAGAAGAAAACTTCCGTAAACATACATATATACACACATACACACCCTGTATGTACATACATGCATATTCTAATTTGAAAAGAAGTAATTAACTTAGCTGAGTAAAGAGTGAACAATTTGCAGAGGTCTGTATAAAACTTTTCAGTATCCCCAACTTCACCCCACTGTTATTTGTCCCATTCTCTGCCTGGCTGTAGTCCCCTTTCCATTACCTCAACTCATCTGACTGTGAAATCCTTAAGTGTATTCAACAGATATTTGTAAGAAGCAGTTTTTTTTTTTAAATATACCACATTACAAGAAATGCCTATGGGAATAGGGAGGATTGCCAGTATGGGACACCACAAAGTCTGTAAAGGCTAGTAACCAGACCTACTGATCATACCTCTCCTTTTCAATCAGTTCATATCATAGCCTGTAAAAAGATAGCCAAACAATAAATGTTTACAAAGAACCCCGCCCCCCAACACACACACACAATTAGGTTCCATTAACAAGCAGCTTTTTGAAATATCCTTTGAAAGAGAGATCTCCATAACACTGCCTTTTGCACTAATAACACTGCCTTTTGCACTTAGCCTGTATGTGTGTCTCTCTTAATTTAAAGCTGCACAGCATCCCTTATCTACGCATGCAGTTTCTATTGACAGGAGATAGGATTGCCTGTAGACTAAGGACAGAAAATGGACTTTAATTTTTCATCTATAGGCTTAAAGAATAGCTCTGACGGCTAATTAGAAAAGGACATTCAAATTAAAAACTATTTTTAAAATGCATTTCTTTAGCTGTGTGTTATTACCATCACATTAGAGACTAACATTCATTTACATTGTGTATTTTTTGCATTAGCTTCAGCCTAGGAAATGACACTGCAGTTTCATTTTGTTTAGAATCACTTTCACTTTTTGGTTCTCAAACGGCCAGCAGAATGTTGGACTATATGCACAGATGTGCCAAAAGAGTGCAATTCTTGCAAAAGAAAAAAGGAAAAAAAAAAGCAAACCCTAACTTTACATTCAGTTTTCCTCCCACACACATCAACACACTGATATTTGGTAAACAACCAGTTTTTATTAAATTTAAGTGTTTGACCCCAGTGACCCTTTAAGGAGATGCTCCGCAGCTTTAATCTAAAGAGTGCAGAAAAATCTGCCATCTTCATCCTTGGGGATCCTGGTGGTTATACCACAATTACTGTGATCGCACCAAGATGAGCAGTCAAGTGGTTGAGGGAATAAATAACCCATGAGGGTACTGCAGCCTCTGTGAAAGGTAGTTTACACAGCAAACATTTCAAAGCAATAAATACAAGTAGAGAAAGAAAAAGTTAGATCTTTTAAGACTCAAGGATCAATTTTGAAAATAAAATCCTGTAGGACTTGCTCCTTAAACACATTAAATTCTAGAAATGTTTGGATGCTAAAGACGTACAGGGCCTCTTTCACCTGGAAGTATGCCAAAGGTAGATCAATTACTTGACCTAATCCCACCTAATTGTGAGGCTGAAGCATCACCATTCCTTATATATCAAGTACCCAGAAGTACACAAAAAGCATGGGCAAAAGTCCCACAATCTACTGCTTGTGCATGGTAGCAGCTATACATGAAAAATTACTCTGTACAAATGTGAAGATGCAGAAAGGAGAAGAATGTGTCATTTAACCAAGACCATACAACTGAGCAACCCTGCTCTAAGAATACGATCACCCAATTATCAGATACTTTAAATAAAACTTCATAAGAAAGTAAAGACGCGACTCCTAGTTTAACCCTGCTAAGGAGACATCCACTATGTCCTGCAGCCATCTGCAAAGGGCTATCTGGGCGTACTGAAGTGTATGGATTTTTACATTTCAAGAAGTATACAATGAGCTGCACTAGCATTTTCACAGCCAGCTCCTCTCCAGCAGAGCCAGCCCATTCCGTTTGTCGTTTAAGAAGAATTAAAGCTCAAATCAAATTTGTGAAACAGTTAAGTTCCAGCTCAGAAGTTGCTTGTTTCTGTTATTCAAAGTCATGTTCAGATTATAGTTTATGTTCAGTCTAACCTCAAACATGTGTATTTCACTATCTTCAGCCTTCTAGAGAAACTGCTATAGTGTCCACTGCAGGGTTTCACAGGTAGCTGTTGGAGAAATCTTGATGTCTTCTGGCTTCAGAACATTAACCACTTTTAGTCTTAAACTACCTCCCGAAAGTTGAGAAAGAAAAACAAAGAAAAACAAACAAAACCAAGAATGAGGCAAGTGGAGGATTTCCAGTCAGAAAAGGCTACAGCTTTGAGACCACAGAGACAGGTGAGCTGTGACAGAAAGGTGGGTGGTACGTCTTTCTATGAGTCATCCAAAACTGCCAACATGCCCCAACTGAGATCTTGGCACAGTTTCCATCAAGGAGCTCATGTTTCAGTGACAGATAGCAGGTGCTGTAGGCTGATAATGTGTGGGAAGGAGTGGCATAAGCATGATGGTTTCTCAGTAAGGAAGGAAAAGGGAGAAAAATAGAAAGGATGTTGAGACTGAACACACTGTTCAGGACCAAAAGCTGGGGAAAGAGGAGGCTACTGGCCAGCTGGACCAGTTGTTTTATACTGTGCACACCCCAGTCTAGCTAGGGTGAGCGGGACAACGCTAAAGAGCACCTATAACTTAGGTGTCCCACTTGTTAGCTTTCAAATCATAGCTGTGCACTCTGGATCCTACCCAGAACCTAGTGCTTCCCTGAGCCCAGGAACATGAATAGTTCCTGACCCTAAACTCTTCACAGTTATGCACTGCTAACCCCCTTCTAGTCTTTTGATGTGCCCCATGATCACTGTTCAAGGATGTTCCTATAGACCAGACTTCCTCTGTAATTTTTGCAAAACCTAATAATTGTCCTCCTGCAATCACCCAGGAATAATTTTTTCCACATACAACAAAACAAAACACCACCACCACCACATCCCCTTTCTAGGCAGAAATGATTTCCCATCCTAGTAGCCACCCTAGTAACTTGGGGAGGAGGAAAATAAGACCAGTCCCAGGTGACCTCATCTTTTAGGCTGATTTCTTCTCTGGTCTCCCTTCTCCGCACTTCTACATGCTGAAGAGCAGATGCTCCTTTTCAAACCATTTATCCCCACACGATACTCTCATAGGACATTGAGTCAAACCAGAACATTTTGGAAGGAACCAAAGTAAATTCAGCAACTTCTAACCCCCTGCCACATTCAGGGCAAAGAGTCTGCCTAGCTGTCTACTAGATTCTCTTCCATGCAATGAAGTTGAAGGCCTCTGCATTTCTTAGCATCATTTCCTCTGCCAATACAAGACAAATCAAGGACATTCATATTATTTGAAAGAAAGATACAGTCAGAATCAGATTTGCAGGAGGAAGAGTCAGTGCCATCAGGAGCCACTAGGTAAAGGTCCATTTTAATAAGTTAAATCTTTTCTGTGGAGGACTTCACCTTCATTCTTTCCACTAAAGAATGGGTCACATGGGGTTCTAAAATAAAACTTCAAGCTACATAGCAAACACTCCTCTAGCACAAATCTACCCCTCATTTTCCAAGCATCATGTTGGTCTTCAGAGTAGAGCACCCATGGACCACAACAGCTGAGCTTGCATTCTACAAGATCAAACAACATCTGCTTCTCCAGTGGCCCCAACCATCTCTGTAGGGAAAGGGGCCATATGTACAAAGACTAGCTGCTGGTCCAGACAGCTAGATGTGGTGGACACCCCATTTGGGGGAGCTACATCTATGGATCAGGCCATCTTTCTATACACACCTGGCAATAGAAGGGGGCCTTATGTCTGGCTAGCAGCTGCTGCAGTAGTGATAAGAAGAGGACTTTTGCAAGGACCCAGTTGTCTTGCAGAGTCTCACCTAGGTTCCCATCTTCTGGTTAAGTCCTTTAATTTAAAAGAAAAATCCCCCAAATTCTCTACAAAACAGGGGGGCACTGTTCAAATAGCATAACTGGTTTATGGAGTTACTCTTTCCCCTGAAAATTTACCCCAGCTGGCAGGCTGCAGCAAACAGGTGTTACTCCTCAGTCAGGCCATGAACGTCGCACCATGCAGAAGTACCGTGGAGGAGCCTTGATCTTCCATAGATTAACCCCCTTTCCCCAAAAAATTTATTCAAGGGTCTCTTTTGCCATACAGTTAAAGATTTCAGGAACTAAGGGGTTAAGTCTTAACCCTGGAGCAGACACCCTGTCCCCCTTCTAGAAGGTCATCTGGAGAAATCAAAGGTGCAAGGCAATCAGGAGGACATGGAGTCATTCCACCAGTGCCGGGAGCAGTCAGAATGACTGCTTAGCAAGCTATCTGGCCTTATGCCAGAACAAATGGGTCATGATATCCAGAAGAGGCAGAAACATGGTGGCTAATCAACCTAAACTTTGGGTTCATAACTCCCTTACCTCCTCAACCAATATAAAGCACCAGGGGAGGGGAGGTGTCCCCCTCAGCTGAGGGAGGAAGGAATTGGATTGTAGTTCGCAGATACCTGGGGTGGGAAAGACACAGAGACAAAGGGGGCTTCAATGCAACCTTTCGGACTGGCTCATCCCACCCTTAGTTCTCGCCCATTGATGATGTGCTGCCGTTGGTCTTGGGTTTTGATTTAGACTTAAAGGAGAAGCGCTTGATGAGGCGCCGGGAGAAGCTGCTGGCTTTCTTCCTGGTGGCAGAGCTGGTGCTGGCATTGGACAGGTCATCATGCGACTGGCTCAGGCCTGCTTCCTTCTGCTTGTTCTTCCTCCGGAAGATGAGCTTGGTGCCGCTCCGGAGAAAGCTGACTGGAGAAAAAGACAAAATGAAGAGGAAGACAGACATAATGATGCCCTGCCTTGGGAGCTTTCAACAAAATGATTTTGTGCTTCACAGACACCTCCCTGTGAAGGGCCATCATCAATTCCATTTTACAGGTTTATGAAGTACAGCAGAAAAGGGACATGCAGAGCTGTGACTAGAACCAGGGACTCTGAAGTTAGTCCTCTGCTCTAGCCACATTCTCTGGAGAAAGAATGAGACATCCACAGGCCAGCAGAAGAGTCACAACTTAGCTAGGTGGTAGTCATCTATTTCTTACTATCCTTGAGCTTCCAAACATGAAAGGCAGATCTAGCCCCTCCCTGGAAGTCCTTCCATTCAGCTGGGTCTTGTGGTAATTTGTGCAATACCCCTTCTCCATACCCGGGATGAGACAGATGGCCTAGGTTTGAATTGGAGAGGGTCAGCGATCCAGCACTTTTTAAAGACTTCCTTCTTGTTTTGCACAATCTCAGTGTAGTAGAAAGGAGAGCCTGAGACATGAGGCCCGGTATAAGGGGCCTGGTGTAAGACCTAAGGCCTGAACCAAAGTCAGGCCCTTTCTTTCTAACCCCCCCCCCCCCCCC